AGGGACGGCCCCGCTCCGAGGCTGGTCCCACAAGGAGGCGAGGAGGAAGGGAACGGGCGGGGCGGAGGTGGAGGGCGGGGAGGCCCTGGCCTGGGGCAGGCCTGGCGTCCCACTCGGAAAGGGCTGGGGGCGGGAAGGCGGTGAGTGGAGGACGCCGAGGAAGCCCCAGACCCGTGGGCTTTGCCGACTAGGGAAACCCTGGCAGCGACGTTCCTTAGTTGGTACCCTGGGCACAACTCGGCCCTCTGATCCCGCACCCCTTTCGCTCCTCTCTGAGCACCTCCAGGAAACCCAGACCGAGGGGACCGAGGAGCGTGGAGGGGCTCACTACCGCCAGAGCAGGATTCCTAGAAAGAACTCTTCTTCACCACTTGCCAAAAACAAGTCGAAAGAAGTGAAACTCTTGGAAGGAAAAGAGTGTCAGTGACAAAAATGGAGAGCAGGAATGAAAGTCCACAGCCTGTGTGGAGGATCCGGTCCGATAAAGCAGCAGGGGAGAAAGTGAATCACAACAGATATGCACCTTTACTAATAACCGCAACAATACCTTACAGTTACACAACTTTCTTAAAGGAAGCGCATTTACAATGAAGGCATTTCAGCCGGATGGTGTCATTCTTCTGCTCAAACCCTCCTAACTTCAGCGGCCAGTTTTCTCTCTTCCTAAGAGGTAAAATCCTGCTGGTGGCTTACACGGTCCTAAGTGACCCTGTCCTTTTTCCTCTCTGACACGCTGGCTTCTTCAAGCAGTCCTTTGACCCCTGTGCCGCAGCTACTTCCTGATTTGGCTATAAGGAGAAAAAAAGATTTATCACTTAAACAGAGCAGAAGCAAAAATCAGCTTGGTGTCAGCTCTTCGCATCTAGGTCCCACGGTGTGGCATGACCCCGACTAGAGGGACCAGATGAACAGACCTTATGAGCTGTGAGGACGAAGGAGCCCGCAGCTGTATCCCTGGCGAAGGAGCAGATGGAGCTGGGATGGAAATTTTACACTCAAGGGAAGTTTGGAAGAGGAGAAACTGCCTTGCAGCACTCTCTCACAAACAGGGATATCAAACTGCCTCAGGGATGAAACTTGGGTCCTTGTGCTTGCGAGGCAGGTGGTGGAACCACTGAACTAAATCCCTGGCCCCCAAATCGCTTCCTAAGGGCTTCTCACAAGGCCTCCTGTCCCTGCTCCAGAAAGAATCCCAAGGCCGGGCACCAAGCCTTGGGTCACACCGTGGTGACATCTTGCATTCAGGGTACAGTTGCCCATGAACAAGATCATCCGGCCATCTCAGAAACTCTCTGTGGAGTTCCTTGCTGATGCTCACATAGGCCAGATACTCTGGCACCTTAAGAATGCTTTTGGTTTTTTCAAACTTTATGATGAATTTTATTTACAAAGCAGTTTGATTTTCTTGTTTTACAAAAATATGCAAAACGTGACTCTTAAAAAGAGTCTTCTCAGACTTCTCAGACTCTTAGGAACTACTTTTTAAGAACCAAGGGATCAAGGGGTTGGAACTCTCAGGTGGTTTCTTTTTTTCTTTTCTTTTGGTAGGGGGATCGAACTCTTGTCCTTGCACTTGTAAGGCAGGTGACGGAACAACTGAGCTGAATCCCTGGCCCAGGTGGCTTCTTTTTGAGAGCTGTAAAAATGGCACTCATGGCTGCTGTGTGTCTTCTCTCAGAATACCACAGAGACTACTTTACCATGTTCTCAAGTAGGCAAATCCCTCCAGCGTACCAACGTTTGTAACATGACTGAAAAAATGCTCATACTGGAAGTTTCCTTGATGGAAAATCTTATTGACAGATTTCAAGAAAAGATTCTGTCCCGCTGGCACTCTTGACAAAGCACATTGAGCATGTGTCCCAAAGCCATGTCATCTCAGTTGTCCGTGACAGCTCTAAGCTTAAAACAGACCAACACCAAATACAGATAGTATGGAGAATAGCTTTACTGGCACAGGGCAGAAGCTTCAGATCAAAACTTTTTGTAATCTTGGGCTTTGCTCTTGAAGATTCTTTCTGGGATTTGCCTCCATCCCGAATGGGTAGTACCATGTAGCACATCAGGTCAATGACATTCTCACTTGTTATCCTGTACTCCCCCAGAGCAAAGTGGCACATCACCAGCTGAATGATGTCCTTAGATGCTCCAAGGTCCCCTGTCTGGCACTTGTGGCTGAGAAAGTGATCCTTGGAGAGCTGCCAAATGATGCAGGCTGCCTGTTGCCTTTTTATATGGGCCCTGATAGGTAATCCTATCAGTGGGAGAGATTCTTAACCATTGCCAAGTATCCATCTTCCATGGCAGACAAATTTTTGTGAGTTCTTTGTCAAGGAATTCTAGGGAATAGAGCAAGTCCCATCTTTTCCTGCCCAATTTAAAGCTTTCTAATACTTAATAGATTTAGTGAGTTTTGCTTTAGTGACTAAATGTAATGGATTTTTTTCCTTTTGCTGAATCATCATCATCTGAACTCGTGTGTTTTTTTCTCTTCTATCAACTACTGTAGTTTCCTTTTTTCTGTATGTGTTTATTACTGTATTACAGTCAGTTTCCACATTATCATATATACTTGATACATCATCAAGAAGAACCAGTGGACCTTGGTTTAGAGCACTAGAATCTTGGAAGGAAGGTGGCTCTGTGCTATTGACATACTGGAATGCATTCATGAAGAAGACCAAGTTAGTGTAATGAACCACTTGGCTTTTATGTGTAGCATGCACTTCATTATCCATCTTTATGTATCGGAAGATATCCTTCATTCTATACACTATATCACTAGAGCTTCCTCTTCCTTTGTTCATCTCCCATTCATGTCTCATTCCAATAACATTCAAATATCTTACTGAAGTTCTCCGAAGGGTCCATATCTGGGATGATTTTTCAGTCAGTCCTTCTTTACATACTTTTGGGAGCTAAGTTTGCTGGGTGATGTTAAATCAGATGTATCTTGCGACCTTAATACAGATTTTTCTATTTGAATAGACCCAGTAACATAGTTGATATAAAAATTCAGCTGTTTTGTTCATGATTATTGATTATTAGAGGAACTACAGCACAAAGAAATAATTTTCTAAAGCAGTTAACAGAGATTCTTGCTCTTCAAGCATTTCAGCTTCTAATAGCACCTCCTTGAGGCCAAACCCATTTGCACCACTATTTCAGGGAAGTGTCTCAAAAACCTACACCTTTCCCTACACCTTTAGCCCTTTTCCTATTTCACATTGTCAATTATCTCATTAGAATCTTATGTACTATTATAGTTTTTCACACCAGAGAAACTATTTGGTATTTACACATGTGTGACTTATTTATTTCACTTAGGAGTATATCCTCAATATGTATCCATTTTCCTATCTGTCCAATGTGTTGAAGCATTGTTCTGTAACCTTTAGTAACAGTTCCTACTGGATCACCCAGGAAGAGTTTCAGATTAACTCCTTAAAATTGGGTTTGTTTATCCTGTAAATCATTCCTAAATGCTGACAGAATAATGCTGACTTCTCTCTGTACCACGAAAGTACCCAGTAGATGAAACTCACATGAATGGCTGTGGTCCCAGGGACATTCATGTACAGAAACAGGCCATAGACTCAAGCTCTGCTTTGCTGACCTCAGCTTTAAAAAGTACCCAGTAGATGAAACTCACATGAATGGCTGTGGTCCCAGGGACATTCATGTACAGAATCAGGCCATAGACTCAAGCTCTGCTTTGCTGACCTCAGCTTTAGATGATTCTAGGTGTCAGCCATCTGAGCCTAAGGTCCCAGGGGAGAAAGAGAGCAAAGATCATCCAGCTCCCTGTGTCCATAACATGGGCTGATCTTGGGGAGAGCTCACAAACACATCATAGATCAGCCTCCCAGCAGTGATCTGGTTTGCATTCTGCCCACTGGTGTATGTCTCATATAGATGTCAATGTCAGCCTGGTAGAGGGTGCAGGCATTGATCAGCCATAGCTTGGCTTCCCACAGGTCCTGGAGGACCAGCTGCTGGGTTAGGGTTATAGTTGGGGACTCACTGTCACCCTGAGCTGATTTGGACCCCATGAGCAATCATGGTTGGACTTCTGCTCAGTCACCGCCACCATTGCCTGAGTGGGGCAGGAATGCTTTCTGCTTTTTACAGATGAGGTCTCACTACATTGCCCAGGCTGGCCTTGAATTCCTGGGCTCAAGTGACCCTCTTGACTCAATCTCCCCAATAGCTGGTACTACCAGAGTGTGCTTCTGTACCTGGCTACAGGTGTCTGAGTTTTTAATTGAGGCCTGCCTTGTACAGTACTGTTCTAGTACTCTATTGATGAATTGATATAGGAAATAATATCAGGACCTCTAAATATGATATAAGGGAAATATTATGTATCCCAACCTGTTAGATGTCTGATACACTAAGTTTGTGTTCTCTAAAATGGAAGAATGAATTCTAGGAACAACAGAGGTTAAGAGTAGGAAATATTTATTGAGGGGGAAGGGTACAGCTCCTGAGAGGCAGCAGGGGCCTGAAAGTGGGCTTCCAAGGACCCCACTTCTCAGGGGAAATTTTATAGAGCACAACCATGTGGTTATAATGTGGGTTGCAACTATGATCAACCCACAAGATTATAAGTATAGTCACTTAGGTAACTTTGATCCAATGGGGAGGCAAGTGTACATGGAAGGAACAAAGAACTTTCCAGAAAGGGATGAGTTCAAGGG